CTACTGTGATAAAATCAGAATGGTACTGGCAACAAAATAAACCTGAGGATCAATGGAATAGATTAGAAGATGCTGAAGACCCTACAAACACACTGAGCCACCTTATCTTTGACAAAGGGGCCAAACATACTCACTGGAAGAAAGATAGCCTCTTTAAAAAATGGTGCTGGAAAAACTGGATCTCTACATGCTGAAAACTCAAACTTGACACAGGTTTATCACTACACACTAAGCTAAAGTCAAAATGGACTAAAGATCTAAACATTAAAACAAAACACTAAATCTCCTGGAAGAGAAAGTAGGAGAAACTCTTAAAGACATAGGGGTAGGCAAAGGGTTCATGAACAAAAATCGAATCACACGGGAAACAGTTGAAAGAATTAACAACTGGGACCTGCTCTTACTGGGAATATTTTGTATGTCAAAAGAAATTACCAGCAAAGTGAAAAGGCAACCTACAAATTTGGAAAAAAATCATGACAAATAAGTACTCAGACAAAGGTCTGCTCCCTAGAATTTATAAAAAACTAAAAACACTAGGGCCCCAAAATTTACAGACCCAATCCAGAAATAGGTATCTGAGATGAACACACACTTCTCAGAGGATGAAATTAAAGAAGCAAATAAATATATGAAAAAGTACTCCACATCACTAACCATCCGCGAAATGCAAATTAAAACAACATCGAGCTATCATCTCACCCCAGAAAGAATGGCTATCATAAAGAAATCAACCAACAGCAAATGTTGGAGAGGCTGTTGGGAAAAAACAACCCTTCTCCACTGCTGGTGGGAATGTAGACTGGAGCAACAGTTATGGAAATCAGTGTGGAGACTCCTTAGAAAACTTGGACTGGAAATCCCATTTAAACTAGCTATTCCTCTACCGAGAGTTTTCCTGAGGATCTGAAATTATCATATCATAGTGATATATGTTTGTAGCAACACAATTAATGATAGCCAAATTTTGGAAACACCAAAAATGCCCATCATCTGAGGAATGGATGAAAAACATATGGTATTTTTATGCAATGGAGTATTACTCAGCTATAAAGAATGATAAACTCAAAACCTTTATATTGAAGTGGATGCCACTTGAAGATATACTCATAAGTGAAATAAACTAGACACACATGTGTAAATATTGTATAGTTTCCCTTGTATAAGAACTCAAAAGAAGAAATACAAATAGAAAGGTATAATATAGTATCCTTTAAAAAAAGATCATAGAGGATTTCAGAAAACAGAAAGGTATTCTGTGCTCCTGGATAGGAAGAGCCAACATTGTAAAGATTGCCATACTCCCAAAATTGTTCCTAAAATTTATCTGGAGCCAGAAATGACATAGAATAGCAAAGGCAATACTGGCCAACAAAAACAAGGCAGGAGGCATTACAATTCCTGACTTGAAATTATACTACAAAGCTACTGTGATAAAATCTGCATGGGACTGGCAACAAAATAGACCTGAAGATCAAATAACTTGGAAGATGCGGAAGCCTGTATGAATGCACACAGCCACTTGATCTTGGACAAAGGGGCCAGACATGCTTACTGGAAGAAAGATAGTTTTTTTAACAAATGGTGTTAGAAAAAACAAAACAAAACAAAAAGCTGCTGGAAAAATTGGCTCTCTACATGCCTAAAACTAAAACTTGACCCAGGTCTATCACCAGGCACTAAGCTAAATTCAAAATGGATTAAAGATCTAAACATTAAAACAAGAACACTAAATCTCCAGGAAGAGAAAGTAGGAGGAACTCTTGAAGACACAGGGGTAGGCAAAGAGTTCATTAACAAAAATCAGTTTGCATGGGTAATAGCTGAAAGAATTAACAACTGGGACCTCCTCTTATTGAGAATTTTTCATGTGAAAAAAAATTACGAAAAAAGTGAAAAAACAACCCATAAATTTTGAATAAATCTG